GAAGAGCTGCTCACCATCAATGGTGCTGCCTTCACCAGCTCTGCATCTCCGAGGTCAGCAGATCGGTCCAGTGTCCTGCTGTGGTCCCTCTCATTGAGCGTGGAATAGTTGTCTGGAGCAGGGGAGGGGACAGTGGGTCATGCCATCTTCATGAGAGGCATTACCATGAGCTCTGCCCACCCCCTCCCTCCCCACCCAGCATACCAGGAGGCAAGACACTCCCCCCCGCCCGTCCCTCACCTACCTGGTCCCATGTTGCTCATCTGGATTTCCTCCCGGGAGGATTTCTTGTCTACAAGCAGGGGAGAGCAGGAGGTCAGACACGTCAGACAGCCCCTGCGGCCAGGAGCAGCAGACCACCCACTGCCCACCCCAGCTGCAGCCGCAGCACTGCCGACCCCAGGATCCTACAGGACCTGCATCAACCGCAGGCGTCATTTCTAGCCCTGAGAAGCCATCTGAAGCCCAAACTGACGGCCCTGTGCGAGCAGCCGTGGCTATGAAGGCCAGGGCTGAAGAGCAGGGAGGGGACAGAGGCCAGCTGTGCTGGGCACCCCCATGGTGGAAGGGTGGCACCGGGGAGACGTGCGGGAGGGAAGGCACGTACCTGTTTTTTGGGTCCTGTCAATGAGAGGCAAGGTGCTGTCATCAAATGAGTTGCCTCCGTGGGTCCGAGAGGCATTGCTCAGGTTGACCTGGAGCACCAGACAACAACCGCTCACACCCGGGCACAGACACTCCGTCCCCATCAGCACGTCCCACCCCTGCAGTCCCCAGCACCAGGATGGACCCCAGCACCCTCCCACCGCCCTTGGGCAAGAGAAGCTCCGAGGCTGCACCCGCGCCGGGGAGGGGACACAGCTGCTGGGACGGGGTCAGGGCAGCACCCAGGCCTTCAGAAGCAAGGACAGGCCCAGCTTTTGGGAAAGAAACCGAGGGGACACTCTCAAGGGTCTCCAATCCCACGAGCAAGGGAAGAGCTGAAATCCACTACTGCTGAGCTCCAGGAACACCCTTCTCCCTGCTGCAGGACCCTCCCTACTGCCCCAGCCACGCCAGGGCACGCCCACTCCCCATCCCCACACCTGGAAATCTGACTTCTTCCAGCCTTCCTTCTCCAGAGGCTTCCGTAGCTCTTTATACCCCCAGACTGTCTGCAAGACAAGGGCAGCTGCTCGGACTTCTCTTTCTGAGCGGTTCCTAGAAAGAGGTGAAGGAAGAGATGTTTGGAAACATGCACGGCCCCGAGGAAGCTCCTGGAGAAACCCGTCTGCCCCTTGCATTATCCTCCAAGCAGATCCTACCCCGATTTGTTGATCAGCACCAGCTTCTCAATCCCCTGCGTTTCCCGCAGCTTCTTGGCAGCCTCAAGGTTGTCCACAACTACTTCATTGATGGTGTTGAGGATTGACACCACGGTGTCCTCTGAGAGGTTTTTGGCGGGGTTCTGCTGGCCTCCAGGCAGGTTCTTCACAAGGTTGGGGATGGCATGTTTACCTGGGAGGGGAAACAGCTGGGCATGAGCACGCGAGGGAGAGGGCTGCAAGAGGCAGGGGGTGGAAATCCCTGCAGAAGGACCAGTGACAGGTGACCAATTTTACGTCCCTCTCAGTGGGGCTCAGCACATCTACTCCGGGAGAGGAGCAGCAGAGAGGTGCTGGGCTGATGTCATCCCCAGGCCCTTCCTCAGCCGCCAAGATCAGGAGGAAGTTCCTGCCTGACCCGGATGGACACGCAGAGTGCAAGTCCTCTCCCCTGCAGCCCTCACCAATCAGCTCTTTGTTACGCAAGTCGACAGCCAGGTTGCGCAGGGCTCCGGACGCCGCTTTCACCACTCGCTCGCTGTCGTGGGTCAGGAGGTCGGCGATGGCGGAAAGCCCCTTCTCCTGGCGCAGCGCCGAGCGGATGTAGCGGCCATACTGCGGGGAGAGGCAGAACACCACAGTGTCACCGGGGCCGGCACAGCCTCTGCCCGCTCTGGGGACGGGGAACACCATGGGGAGCCTTGCCACCCACCCCCATCTTGGGAACCAAGGGTCCCGGCTTCGCCCACAGCAAGACAGGCTGCAAAGGTCCCACTCCTGTCCTGAAGCCCCTCTGCAGGCCAGGCAAGCAGGATTTCCTAGGTGGCCTTTCCATATACAGCAAGAGGACACAGGTCAAGGGGCTGCAGTGTGGCCCCAGACCTTCACCCCTGCCCCCAGAAGGGAAGGAACGGCCGGGAGCCGGCCGCAAGCAGGGACACAGACCGACAGCCCTCGGGAAGACAGAGCCGGCAGGAGCACAGAGCCCTTGACGGCACAGGAGAGACCTGAGCACACCTGAACCGTGCTGATGAACGGTATCTGCCATGCACACAGCGAACAGCCCGGAAGAGCAGCAGAGCCTCAGCCACCCACAGCGATGCTCCCTGCTCCCCAGGGCCCCTTCCCTGCCACACCGGTGAAGGTGGGCACGGCCAGCTCTGCGAGGCACTCACTGTCCAGCTGCCAGCACACAGGTTCTGAATGGCTCCTGCCGAGGCCTCCAGGATGGCTGGGTTCTTGCTCTCCTTTAGAAGGGAGATGTATATCCGGACCACTTCTGGCTGGAAGAGGAGCTCGTAGCCTGCCAGAAGAACATGGGTAGGAAGGACTTACTTAAGGGCCCTGCTAGCACTGAATCATTCAAAGGAGCACCGTGGGACAGACGAGGCCGGAAGCTTTTACCCAGGCTCGCTGCTCCCTGGAGGCTGGGTCCTTGGTACAGAGGGGGCCAGGCTGCCCCGCAGGACAGAAACCCCAGCCACAGCCCTGCCCAAGGACACCACGGCCGAGGCCCACAGTCCCCGACACGCAGCTTGTGCCTCAGGTGAGGTCTGGGCTGAGCTGCAGCACTGCTGCCATCAGCAAGGAGATCTCCATTGCAGTACAACACCCAGCTGAGAGGTTCCCACCCCACGCAAGGACACATGGCCGGGCAGCAGATGCGGCGGCCGGGGGCCCGCAGCCTCAGCAGGAGGAAGGGGAAACACTCCAAGCAAGCGGTCACCACCACCATGCTGGAGTAGCCTGGCTTCAGCTTACCCTCAGAGGCTGAAGGCACTGCGTCTCCATCTCCGCTACCCCAGCAAGCAGGCAGGGAACAGGCCTTCAAGTATTAACTCTTTTCCATGGAAACACATGCCCAGAAGCGACTTCTAAAGCAGTGGCGAGACTGGAGCTTACAGTTTTGAGGATGGATTTTCCATCTTGCTCTTTGCCCTCAGCTGCAGTGAGGGATGTTCCCAGCCCCCAAAGACAGCAGGTGGCTTCTCAGGCTGCCACCAGGGATCGGTGACAACAATTCCCGCAGCCCAGGTCAGCCTGAGGAGCCACCATCAGATATTTGAGCTGCTCACAAGGTCAGGTCTCTCCTAAAGTTTCCTCGCAATTCTTCTAGCTTGACCCTCCATAGCCCTGGGAGCACCAGGGTCCTCCCGGGAACCACAGGGTGTTCTGGGGCAGAAGGAGCTGAACTCCAGCCCGGGGCTAATGCCCACTGCTTGGCCAGCCAGCCAGGGGCTGTGATTCATAGCCTCTAGGCAGCGAGACACTTGTCCTCAGAGGCTTCTTGGAATGACTCTTCCTCATGCTCATGCTGGAGAACCCTTGGAGGCAGGGTTTTGGCTTTAAATCCTGCCTCTTCCTCGTGCTCAGGAGAGAAGAGCACGCCAGAGGGCAAGTGTGCTGAGAAGTCCGAGACCACCACAGAGGGCTACCTCTCCTAGGGCTGTATCACCACGCCACCCCTCGCTCCCTAGAGCAAGCTGGAGGAAGCCTGTCCCAGGGCTGCGCTCTGAGCTCCTCCAAGCGCAAGCATCCTCACAACCACCTGCAGCAGAGCTGGTGTGTGAACAGGCCCTTGGGCAACCAGAAACACCTCCTCCAAACCTCTGCCCGCTTCAGAGGCTCACTTCAATGGGAAACCAACTCTACCCACTCCTCTCCTGGATGGCTTGTGGAGAGGCAGCCCTGCACACACACACCCCAAGGAACATACCTTTGGCTGGAGTTGTTCTTTTGGGAAAATCCACTGTATCAGCACCAGGGTCTTCTGGGAGCTTTTTACCTTCAAAGGGCAAGCAGAGAGGCATAAGACACCTCCTCTCCCCACCCACCTTAGCCCAACAGCTCTGTGCCCCTCACTACAAGAACAAGCCCCTAGATGAGCTGAAGCTAAGCCACCAGCATGTCCCAGGAGGGGATGTCAAGGGCACTAGCCACACTGCAAGCAGCATGTGCCCAGCTGAAGAGGGGAACAAAGAGCTAGAGAAAGCACCCAATGAAACCATGGAAAAATCAAAACCAGAAGCACACTCACCTCTGGAGAACCATTCATCTATTGGCGAAGCGGAGAGAAGGACAGGAGAGAGGGGAGGCAGGAGGAGAGAAGTGCCGACAGCATCATGGGGCAGATCATTTGCCAAGAAAGCAAAGGGATGGGGAAGGGGCAACATAGGAGAAAAGGGAAGGTGTCGAGTTAGTGGACATCCATCCATCACCATCCCACCACCACAGAAACCCACCATTAGCTTGTGTCAAACACTTTGGGTAAGCCAAGCGGTAGCTCCCAAAGCCAGGGGAGGCACGGACCGCTGTGTCTCCAGAGAAAGCTGCAGCTGAGCCTTCACACAAGAAGATGCCAGAGTATGAGCAGAGACGCCAGACCACCCCCAAGCTCCACTGCAGTAGATCCGCCTTTATCCCCCCTCCCCATGCTGCCAACACCCCACGGACCTTTGCCTTTCTTGGCACCGAAGCAGCTGGCAGCGTGGGGCCCGGTGTTGTTGGCAGGGGCCAGAGGCGTCTCCTGGTAGCGCTCAGCATGGGGGATCTCACGGTGGACTTGGTAGGACAAGTTTCTCAGCAGGCACACACAGTTCTCCACCAGCTAGAGAGAAAGTAAGACAGTTTGCCTTAGAGCAGCACAAGCCCATCCTGTGTCTCTCAGCAAGGGCCCCATCGCAGCCTGACCCAGGGCCAGGGCCCGGGGGGCTGAGCTGGGACCAGGAGACCCGCGGCTCTGTCCCAAAGCAGGCACGGCAGCTCTGCTGGCGTGGGCTCGTACTCTGTGGGGCCAGCAGTCTCTCTACCACGAGCACAGAAGGTCCAAGGAAAATTTCAAGGAAAATTCAAGCCAACACCACGTCAAGGCAGATCAGGGAGCTGAGCCACGGACACCAGCACAGGGACAAGCGGCACCACCAGACCCTGCTGGAGGGCCACCTCTCCCCCTGCAGACTGCAGCTGAGCGCAGACACCCCCCAGCCAGGCACGGACCACACCACACCCCCCACAGGATCCCTCTTCCCAAGCAGAGATTGTGGAAAGGCCTGAGCCTGGACGGGGTGTTCCTGAGCTGGTCCTGTCAGACCAAACCCCTCCCCGGGAAAGACTCCCCCCATCCATTCTTCATCTGTCTGGGGATGAATCCAGCGTCAGCCACCACAAACGCTGCTGGGGCTGGCTGAGCTGGGCAGAGCTCTACACGTGCCCAATACCCCCCTGCTGCAGTACCTTGCTGTCCAAGTCCTTCTGGCCGATCTCAGACTGGACGATATAGATAAGGGCATCCACCAGCCCATCGCATTCCCGCAGCTTCCGACGGGCCTCGCTCCGCTCTGAGCTCACGTTCCTGGCAGGCAGGAGAGAACCGTCATGGGAGAAACAGCTGAGGGCAGCCGAGGAACAGCCCACACCCAGCAGAGCTCAAACCAGAGGACTCCTCCACTGAGAAACACCTCCAAAAAATCAAGGACGGCACCACCAGTGGCGGTCCCAGGAGAGCAGCTCCTCTGCTGACCTCCGTGGGCAGTCTCAGAACACTGGCAGGAGCAGTCAGGAAGGAGCGTTACAGCAGCCCTGCCCCACGCCAGCTCTCTGCCGGCATCTGGTAGCCCTGCTCCCGTACCTAAGGCAGCCAGCGGTGTTGGTGAGCACGGACTCCCACTCGATGTGGCGGGGTTTTGAGTCCTCGTTGGGTTCCCGCTCCCAGCCCGAGCGGGGAATGACCACCTCATCGGTCAGGGCATGGAGCGCGTGGTCCACAATGGCCATCTTGATGGAGTCGTGCGAGGACAGATTCCACAGTGTTCCTACAATGCCACAAGCAGGAGGTGATCAATCTGATTGCGCGGGCTTGAAAACCTGCATTGTGCACCCCTCGCCCGAGGGATCAGCCCCTCCTCTCCTCCCTGGAGCCGTTACCTGTGATGACCTCCGTGAGGTCCATGTCATGGGCCTTCCGCAGCAGGCGCACCAGAGCAGGCACCCCGTCGCAGTTCTTGATGGCAATCTTATTATCTTGGTCCTTGCCGAAGGAGATGTTCTTGAGGGCTCCGCAGGCGCCGTAGTGCACCTCCTTCTTGGGGTGGTCCAGCAATCCCC